GCGCCTGCAGGTGGGGGGCTGGGCCTGCAGGTGGGGGGCTGGGCCTGCTGTGGGGAGCGGTCACACGGTCGAGGGTTCCGTCCAGGGTGAGGGCTTGAGCAGCTGGTGGACCCGGACACCGTCACGCGGGGGACACGGAGACTGGACCTCTGTGCTCCGTGGCAGAGCGGAGGTGCCGGCGAGCTGTCCAGCGGGACAGCAGGCAAGGGGCGTGGGGGTGAGTCAGCAGAACCCCTCGTGGGCACCGGAGCATCTGGGGTCCTGCTGACTGCCCCGCCCAGCCCCGGGTGATGGAGGCAGCTCCCGGAGAAGCCTCGAGTTTGGGGAAGCTGGAGGTCGTCTGGTGTGAGCCAACATCCCCAGCCTGGTGTGAGGCAGGGACAGGACTAGCCGTCACGAGGGCCTGTGGGTCTCGGGCCTCCAGACTGGTCCCAGGAGGCACCCAGCGCGAGGTGCGGCCCAGTGGCCTGCTGGGAGCTGTGTGCTGGGCCCCGCCGAGGCGGCGTGCAGGGCTGGAGGCCGTTGGGATGCTGTTAGGACCGGGTCTTAGCGCCTCTCCCCTGGCCCTCCGGTTCCTCTGCAAAGCCTTGGAATCCGTAGCTGCTGTCGCTGCGGGCTCCGGCCTCAGGGTTTGGGGCTGGCTTCCCTGAGGACAGAGACCTGGCCCAGTGCCACGCAGTCAGCTGGGACCAGCTTGTGGGGGGCAGGGAGGAGCCCAGTTCCCTCCGAACATCTGTGACTCCCCAGGAACGTGGTTTAGGACGAGGGTTGCTTCCCGTGGGAGAACAAACGTTTACCCGGGATCCGCGGGAGACGCCCAGATGCCCGGGAGGTGAGGCCAGGCCCGGACAGCGCTGTGCAATGCAGCCGGGGCCCCGCCGGGCCGGCGTGCGCCTCGCTTCCAGGGAGGACGGCCGGGACGCGGCAGGCGCAGACACCGGCGGCCACTTTTTTTAAAACCTTGGGCCGGGAGGGGAAGTAAAGTCCTTTGTGGTTTCCAAGCCCAGTGTTCCCCAGACACTGCCGCCTTTGTGTGTCCAGAAGCCATTCAGTGGGTTTCCAGGGCAGAGGGTGTTGTGGCCGGCTGGCTCTGCCCGCCCAGCCCCTGCCAACGGCCCGGAGCCCCCGCCCGGCACAGCACCGGGTGCCATCCGCGCACATCCCGGGGTCCGCGCAGGCCCCTGCCGTGGCTCTGAGCAAGGGTCCGGCATGGCCTTCGCCGGGGGGTGCTAGCCGGCGTGTTTGCTTCTGCCCGGAGGTACGGGGCGCTGGCCCTCGGGGGCTGCGGGCAGCAGTGGGTCCTGTTCTGAGTGGCCTCACCTTGAGGGGTGGGTGTGTAGGAGCTGCCAAGGTGGGCTTGTGGGGGTGCAGGAGGGCCTGTCCTGGGGGCCTGAGAAGGTGGGCTTCCTCCCATGGACCTTGGGGAGTGAAGAGTGGGTGTGCAGGTGGGGTGCCGGTTGGATAAAGGGAGGACTAGACTCGGGGTGGATCGCAGCCGCAAGCAGAGGGCGGGTGCGGGTGAGGTTGGTGGAGACGGTGCCCATTCGGGGCTGGCCTTGGGTCACTGCTGGTGTCTGAGGTCCGGCCCTCCTCTCCCTCGTGGACAGCGTGCCATGGCCACCCTCCAGCTCCATCTGGGGGGGTACTGTGTTGGACAGTGTCCCCAGAATTCGTGTGTACGAGGTTGTCCTGGGGGTGGGATGTGGAGGGGCTTGCCTGCCCCGCCCCGGGGTGTCACGGGTGCTGTGGGGCCCTGGTCGACCGCCGTGTGAACTGTTCGTGTATTTGAGGAGCCTAAGCGGTCTGGGGCGCAGGGCGGTGGGGATGGGAGCCGGCCCCCTGGGGGCCCCTGGCTCGGGCAGGCTGAGTGCTGGGACCCCATGATGTGGGCCGATTTGAGTGGCCGGCAGGAGGAGCCCGAGGCTGGGGTGACCTGGTGGCTGGAAGGGGAAATAAGTCCTTTGTGGTTTCCGAGTACAGTGTAGCACCCCATTGCGGGCCCTGTCTTGTGGGCCCTGTCTTGGAGCGCCTGCGTTCTGAGGGGGCAGGGCGGACACTCGGGGCTTTGTCCCTCTCCCCGGACGGCCAGCTCATTTGCTTGCAGGAGCTGAGTGGGGACGGAAGGCGGCCAGGCCTCCGGTGGTGTGAGGATCCCAGGCAGTGAGAGGCCCTGACCGGAGCCCTGCGCAGGGAGAGAAGCGGGCGGGGGCCAGACAAGCTCCTGACCGCTCTGCTGGGCTGCGCGTCGGCCCGCTCTGGGCTGGGAGCCTCTGTGCCGGCCGGCCTCAGGCCAGAGGACAAGGAACCGCCCCCCGGGCCTCAGTGACGATGGGCAGGATGAGGTCTTAGGTGGCTGCAGTTGCCCTGTCCAGTGTTTTAATTTCTTTTAGTTTAAAAAGCAACAGGAGCCCGGCCGGTGTGGCTCAGCGGTTAGAGCGTCGGCCTGCGGTCCAGAGAGACCCGGGTTCGGTTCCCACTAAGGGCACGTACTTCGGTTGCAGTTTGTCCCCGGCCCTGGTTGGTCGTGCGGGTGGCAGCCACTCGATGTGTCCCTTTCACATCGATGTTTCTCTCTCTCTCTCTCTCTTCCTCTCTCTCCCTCCCACTCTATCTGAACAAAAAAAGCAACAGGAGCCCGGCCGGTGTGGCTCAGTGGTCGAGCGTCGACCCTGCATCAAGAGGTTGCTGGTTCGATTCCCAGTCAGGGCACGTGCCCAGGTTGTGGGCCCGATCCCCAGTGGGGGGCATGCAGGAGGCGGCCAATCGGTGTTCTCTCTCATCAATGTTTCTCTCTCTCTCTCCCTCCCTCTCCCTTCCTCTCTGTCTAAAATCGACAAAGAAAAAAAATAAAAAGCAACAGGAAAGCCTCGTAGGACGTTTGGAAAGAGAAGTGTTACAAACTGCCCATAAGCCCACAACCCAAGCACAGGGTCCTGGGTTCCCTTTGTCTTTCTAGGCGCCCGGGGAGGCAGCATTTCATAACGGCCTGTGTCACTCCTGGGACGCGAGCCCAGCAGGACTTCCCAGAGCTCCTGCGGGGCGGAGGGGCGGACAGATCGCCCCGCGCTGCTGTATGGGCGCCGGACCTCCTGCACCTGGGGGATCTGTGCCTGGGGTGCAGACACCGGCCCGGAGGGCTCTGTCCTCCCGCTGCCCTCGGCCTCCGCTGGCGCTCGGTCCTTGGCCGGTCAAGGTTTCGCGTGAGTCGCGGGGATGTTTCCTCCCGCCCTGCACGCCTCTGCCAGGGGTTTGCCTGCCTGGTGCCGAGGTGCCGCCGCTGCTACCCGTTTGTTCTGTCTCCTTGATGACAAGGACATTAACCCCTCACATGCCGCGTTGGCTACACGCAGCCCTGGCTTCGTGGCTCCTTTTAAACAAGTGGAAGCTTACTTCTGTCCCCTTGACCGTTAGACTCCTTTCGCTCTGTGATTATTTTGTTTTTCAGTCTCTTAAATAGACTGTTACCCTCTCTAGGGACTGGATACGTTCTCTAAGTTCTCTTTCCTTTCGTTTTTTCCCCCAAGCTTGTGTAACCTTTGGTGCTTCTCGACGTCACTGGTCCTTCACACACGTTTTTCCAGATGCCTGGCCACATGCCCGCCCCCCGCCGAGGGCAGGGCGCCACCTCCCGCACCCTCATCCCGCACGGCGTGGTGCACCCTGGTCTCTCCTGAGCTCCGGGGGGCTTGGGTGTCCCTCGCAGACCACCTGCTCTCCTCACCTGTCCTCACAGACCCGAGCTCGTTCGGGTCCACTCTGAGTGGGGTCCTCACCGTGGGCGGTGATGCCTCGGGAGCGAGGCCCTCGGGGGCGGGGCAGGCACGTCAGCGCTGCCGCCGACACCCCCAGACGTGATTAACGGTCCTTGGGGAAGCTCCGCGCACCAACGGTTGCAAACAGGAAATGCTCCCCGCCCCCGTTCTGGTTCTTCATGCAAATACCCCAGCGGCGGTTAGGGCCAGTTCATGGATTCCGCCCCGCGCACCCCGCTTCCTGCTCGCCGCGTGTGGAGATGATCGCGCCGTCCGCTGGGCCCGGGCCCGTGGGGGGCCCTGACGGGCGTCCTCGGGGATCCTCTGGTACTTGTCTCACTGGTTCGTTCGCTGGTCAGAGGTGGGAGCGGAGGCTCGGAAAGGGGGTCCCGGCAGGGCCGGCTCGGAGCCTCGGTGTGTCCAGAGCCCCCAGCTGCTGCGAGGGCCCAGGAGAAGTCTGGGGGAGGGGCTGGGGGGGAGGTCTGACCTAGGCCCAGGCGAGGCGCTGGGCCACAGGCACAAGGGTTGGGGTCCCTGGGTGTGCTGGGTGTTTAAACTTCTGTATCCTCCAGACGGCCCCATTGCGGCCCCCACAGGGCAACCTGCACCTGCAGTCTTGGGGGGCCGTCCAGGGAAGCAGACGGGCCGCTGGCCAGCGGTTTGTGGCCTCTCCCAGAGCTAGGGCAGCTCAGGGAGTCCCGCAGCCTAGCCGGGGCTCCCCAAGCAGCCTGGGCCGTGTCCCTGAGAGGGGCCAGGTGGATCGCGGGAACGCAGGCCAGAGCCTCACAGGGGAGACACCTGCTGAGGGACCCCGCTGAGACACCTCAATGCCTGGTGCCGGGGAGGTTTGGGGGGTTTGTGGCTGCCCCAAGCATACACATAGCCACAGCTCTGGCCACAGCTCTGGCCACACTGTTGACGGTTTGTCAGGGGAACTTGTGAGGAGTGTCTGGCCCCTTCCCTGCTCTGTGTGGGGCCCCCTCCCCGTCTCCCTCCACCCCGGGCTGGCCTGTCTTTCTGAGACACGGCTCCATTCTGCCCTGTGGGGCACCCAGTGGGCCAGCTTTTGTGCCCAGCTATGGCGGGGAGCCGGCCACCGGCCTGGCGGTGGTGCACGGTGGGGGCCGCGCCCCGGAACTGGCTGCTCCCCCAGCGCGGGGCTCGGACCTGGGGCTGTGTGCGAGAGGACTGCCCGGGCAGGCGGCGCCCGGGCGAGCGGCCCGCTGACATGTCCTCCTTCTCTTGCAGGGACGCCGACCGTCATGTTCAGGTGAAGCAGAGGGGCTCCGTGCTGAACATGCTAAGGAGGCTGGACAAGATCAGGTTCAGAGGTCACAAAAGAGATGATTTCCTCGACCTGGCAGAGTCTCCCAATGCCTCGGACACCGAGTGTGGAGACGAGGCCCCGCTGAAAGCACCTCGGGCCTCGGCCCGGGACAGCGAGGAGCTCCGGGACCCTGTGAGTGTGCCGTGCTGGGCTCCGGGGACCAGGCTGCTCCCTCCACCCCGCCCCCGCCCCCGGGCCCTTGGTGTGGGGTCCCCCATCCTCAGGAGGCCAGGCTGAGCGTGGACTCGGCCAATGGGACCCGCCTGGCTGGTCAGAGACCAGCTGAGCCCACTTCCCTCCTCGCCTGCTCACCTGCCCTGCTTGCCCCTCCCCCCGCGTCCCTGGAGGGCGTCCCGGGCCAGGATAAGCAACCTTTCCCTCTCCAAGGGCTGGCCCAGCAGCCGGACGCCCCGCGTTGTGCTCGGGGGGTTGGCAGACTTCTTGAGCAGATGTGATGTGGACCCCAGTCCGGCCCCTGGAGCCTTGGCGCGGGAGGGATGGACGGGGCGCTGTCTGGAAGCTGGTGGCCCCGGCTTGCCGCCGGATGCCCTCTGGCACCTGACTGGTCTGCCTGGCCGTGCCAGGGTGTGTGTCCCTGACCCCGGCAGCTGGCCAGCCCTCATCAGCCCACGCGGAGACAGTGGCCCCTGTGGGCCAGTCGTGGGGCCTCTTCACTGGGGCGGCAGACACCCCACTGCACCTCAGCTAGGCACTGTGGCTCCCGGGGTAGCCAGGCGCCCGTGGGGCCTCCCTCTTGAAGCTTACATTTCGCCAGCAGGGGCGGGTCTCTGTGGCCCCTCTCTGGCCATGGGGCGTCGCTGGACTCATCCTGTGGGCCCAGCTGCCCAGGGAAGAAGCCCAGGGCCGGCTCACTCCGCTCGGGGTGCCCCCCACGTGGACCCCACGTTTGGTGGCCTGCTGGCCTCCTCTCCGAGGGCCTGAGCCAGGTTGTCTTTGCAGCTGCCCTGCGCGCTCAGTCCCGGCCGGGCGAACGGCGTCGCGGCCCTGGGAGCCGGGCGCCCCCCACCCCGGGCAGGGCGCTCCCCGTGGCCCTGCCAGAGGCCAGATTTCCGGTCTGTTCCCCCAGGCCTGGCCTGGCTCGTTGGGGTCATGGCACAGGACCACACAGGCTTGTCTGCGAGGGAAGCCGTGTTCTCTGCGTGGCCGGTGCCAGCCTGGGGCTAGGCTGTGATTCTCGGACGTTCTGTGGGTGCAGGAACCCCCACGTGTGGTTCTAGGCTGTGTGCCGATGAGAGAGACGGGACCTGCCCAGAGACCGTGTCGGGCTGTTTGGCTCCACTCTGTCCGTCTGTCCATCCAGGGCCAGTGGCAGCCGCATGGAGTCCCAGCCTCATCGCGTGCGTGTGTGGGTGTGCATGTGTGTGCATGCGTGTGTGTGTGTGTGTGTGTGTGTCTCAATGTGGGGGCGAGTTGACGGACAGAGGGTCTGCAGGCCTGGGGTCCGGTCTTCACTCCGCCACGAGGCTGTGGGCTGGCGACGCGTCAGGCCGCCACCCCCACCCGCCCAGGCGTGCAGGAGGTCACAGCACTGTCGCAACAGTTCGGTGCCTGGTGGGAGGTGGTAGCCCTGAGTGGCTTCGGTCTGAGAGGCTTTCTTATGTGGGAGGTTGGTCACCTCTCTGCTTCGTTCTTGTTGTGGTGAAACGTACATAAACTCTACTGTTCAGTGTTAAGTGCATTCCCGTTGCGTGTGGCGCCCTCTGGGCCACCGAGGGGGGGATGGGCAGGGGAGGGGTGATCGGCTGGCCTGGGGAGTCACTGTGCACCCCCCCCCCGCACCGGGCTTGGGCCAGCGAAGCTGAGATGACTGATGTGGGTTCTAAGGCTGAACCCCAGGGGGCTGGGCCCCGCCCTTCCAGACGCGGGGTCCTCGGGCCCCGTCGGACCGCTGGGTGGACGCAAGGCGGCCCTCCTGAGCTCTCGGTGTTCCCCTTCCAGGCTGGACCAGGGACCCTCATCATGGCCACAGGAGTCCAGGACTTCAACCGGACAGAGTTTGACCGGCTAAACGAGATCAAAGGCCACCTGGAAATCGCCTTGCTGGAGAAGCACTTCTTGCGTGAGTCCCGGCCGGGGAGGGGGCACGACAGCTTCGCTGTCCTCGGGACAGGGGTGGCCCTGTGTGGGCGTCGCCTCACGGCCTATTGTCTCCTGAGTCCTCCGAGCGTCCCTCTGCTGCTCCACGGAGCCCAGCCCGCCGGCGGCAATGTCTTGACTCTCAGGGGCACAGGAGGACGTCACAGGGCAGGAGTGAACTGTCCCCGGAAACCTGGTTGTCTTAGTGGAGCAGGTGCCTGTAATGGGCTTCGGGAAGGACCTGTGAGATTTCCGGTCTGTTCTGTCGGGTTGGGAGGGACAGCGGGGCTCGTGGTTCGGGCCCTGACTGCCCGGCTGGTACTGGGCGGGGCTGTTGGCGCTGCTCGACCACGCGGTCTGGCTGCTGGGTGGGTGCTGGTGACCGTGACGGCGGAGAGGGTTTGGCAGGCCCGCGGGTCCCTTACGGACACTCTCATTCCGTGCGTGGCCTTTGATCTGCTCGCTGCCCCTCTGTGTCCCCCTGCTTTAAAGGTGAGGAACTGGACCCTGGCCAGTGTGGCTCAGCGGTTAGAGCGTCGGCCTGCGGACCAATGAGTTGCCGGTTCGATTCCAGTCAAGGGCACGTGCCTCGGTTGCAGTTCAACCCTGGCCCTGGTTGGGTTGTGCGGGAGGCATCCAGTCTATGTCTCTCTCACATCGATGTTTCCCTCTCTCCCTCCCTCCCACTCTATCTGATGATAAATAGAAAGATATTCTCGGATAAGGAATAAAAATAAAGGTGAGGAAACCGAGGCACAGAGGCTAAGTGAGTACAGTGACCCTCAGGTAACCCCGAGGCCGGGCCGACTGGCCTGAGGTGGCCGCGTGGCCCTGTCCCACCTGCCTGGCTGACCCACAGGGTGAGCGTTGCTGTGGGGGAAGCAGGAGAAAGGGGCAGCTTTGGCCCATGTGCCCACGCAGAGAGCTGCCCAGGAGGGAGGGCCATGGGCAGGTTGGCAGGTCACCTTCCTTCAGGTGTCATGCCCAGTGGGGCCTCCCTGCGATGCCAGGGACAAGCAGCCTGGTGCCCTTGCCTGCCCACGGGCACCACCCCCTTGGTGCCCCCTGGGGTCGGCTCCCTCCTTTTGTCCTGGTTTTTCCTGCGGGAAGCGCCCCCTGAGCAGGAGCTGCGCGCCCAGCTCTGCAGGCTGTAGGCCCCGGGCAGGAGCCTTGGGTTAAAGCCTGCTCCTGGGAAGCCTCTGCCTTGCTGCCCGGCCCCGCCACCCAGGCTCTGTGCCCGCCTTCCCTCAACCCCTTTCCTGGCCAGCACGCCCCTCAGCAGGCATGCACACGTGTGTGTGCGCGTGTGTGCAGTTCACTCCATGTTTGTGTGTGTGTGCAGTTCACACTGTGTGCAGGGGTGTGTGTGTGCAGTTCGCACTGTGTGCAGGGGCGTGTGTGTGCAGTTCGCACTGTGTGCAGGGCCGTGTGTGTGCAGTTCACTCCATGTTTGTGTGCAGGGGCGTGTGTGTGCAGTTCGCACTGTGTGCAGGGGTGTGTGTGTGCAGTTCGTACTGTGTGCAGGGGTGTGTGTGTGTGCAGTTCGCACTGTGTGCAGGGGTGTGTGTGCAGTTCGTACTGTGTGCAGGGCCGTGTATGTGCAGTTCGCACTGTGTGCAGGGGTGTGTGTGCAGTTCGTACTGTGTGCAGGGCCGTGTGTGTGCAGTTCGCACTGTGTGCAGGGGTGTGTGTGTGCAGTTCGCACTGTGTGCAGGGCCGTGTGTGTGCAGTTCGCACTGTGTGCAGGGCCGTGTGTGTGCAGTTCGCACTGTGTGCAGGGGTGTGTGTGCAGTTCGCACTGTGTGCAGGGCCGTGTGTGTGCAGTTCGCACTGTGTGCAGGGGTGTGTGTGTGCAGTTCGTACTGTGTGCAGGGGTGTGTGTGTGTGCAGTTCGCACTGTGTGCAGGGCCGTGTGTGTGCAGTTCGCACTGTGTGCAGGGGTGTGTGTGTGCAGTTCATACTGTGTGCAGGGGTGTGTGTGTGTGCAGTTCGCACTGTGTGCAGGGGCGTGTGTGTGCCGTTCGCACTGGGTGCAGGGGCGTGTGTGTGCCGTTTGCACTGTGTGCAGGGGCGTGTGTGTGCCGTTCGCACTGGGTGCAGGGGCGTGTGTGTGCCGTTCACACTGGGTGCAGGGGCGTGTGTGTGCCGTTCGCACTGTGTGCAGGGGCGTGTTTGTGCCGTTCGCACTGTGTGCATGGGTGCATGGGTGTGTGTGCACATGTGCAGTTAACTGGATCCCCGGTTCAAGTGTGTGTGTGCACATGTGCAGTTAACCGGGTCCTGGGTGCAGGTGTGTGTGTGTGCAGTTAACTCCATGTGTGTGTCTCCCACACAGCCGCAGTCTGCCACGTGTTTGAGGTTGGCACGCTGGCCGGGCCTGCTGGCTGCGGCTGCCGCACAGTGTGCCTGGTGCCCTCTGTGCCTGTCACACCATCGGTAAATATTTTAGTTGGCCACCAGTTACGGTTTAAAGATGAAAGCCACACGTCTGACATCACAAGGGGGAAAAAAAAACAAGTTTTCCTTGAACATCAGCAGATACACATCTTAAGCTCACATTTCCCCAACGGGCTCAGCATTCTTGTTCAACAGACGTCACACGTGCGACCGCAGCTGTGTTCCTTCCGTCGTCCCTGCTGGTCCTCGTTCTGCTCGTGGTGGCGGGCTCTCCGCTGGGCTCTGTTCAGGGCGTCCGCGGACTCCACACGTGACCTAACGTGCCCGTCCCTCTGGGCTGGTCCCTCCTGGCCTCCATCCTGATGGCTTCGCTCCGTCATCTCATTAGAGGTTACGAAACGTGCAGTTCCGACTGGACTGTTCTCCGTGTGTTACCCGACATGCTCCTGAAACCCGGCTCTCGGTGCTCCGAGGGACGGTCCCCGGGACACGAGCTTGGAGCCTTCCCTTTGTTGTCCAGTTTTCAAAGTGAACACTTGATTCTCTACTTAGCGCATCCTCAGAGGTGACTGATGGGGCTGGGGGCTCTCGTGGGGTTTTGTGTCATCGTGGGATCGTGCTCTTAGGCCTCAGTGACGAGTCTTGGTGCCTGTGGTGACGTCTTGGTGCTCAGGGCGACCCAGCCCCGCCCGGCTGTGGGGCCTCTGCGGGCTTCTGTGTCCTCCGACACGGGCCCGCCCTGTGGGCCCTCAGTCCTTGCTGTCTGGCGTGAGGGCCTCCCAGGCCCCTGGACAGTTCCTGCCCGTCCTGGAGTGACCCGTTTCTGCTGCGTCCTGTTGCCGGACAGCGGTGTTAGGGACGGAGAAGGGTTCTGGGTGCTTGCCATTCGTCGCTGTTCCCAGACCCTTTCCCTGGGCAGAGCGAGGGCGGCGCAGGCTCATGCAGATAATTCTAATTCATGTCCAGCACCAGGGGCACTGGGTTTGGTTTGTTCTCTTTAAAAAAAAATTGTGATAAGATGCACGTATACACAAAATGTGCCATCTCGCCTGTTTTTAGGCGGACAGTTCGGTGGCGTGAAGTATGTTCATAGGTGTGTGCCCATCACCGCCCTCCACCCCCAGAGCCCTTCTCGTCTTCCGTGTCCCCGTTCAACACCGCTCCCCTCCCACAGCCCTGGCGCCCCCGTTTCCCGTCTCTGTGAATTTGACTGTTCTGAGCTCCTCGTGTAAGTGGGGTCACAGAGCATTTGTCCTTTTGCGTCTGGTTTATGTCACGAGCGTAGTAACCCCGAGGGTCATCTTTGTCATAGCAGGTGTCAGACTTCCATTCCTTTTCCAGACTGAGCACTGTTCCATTGATGGACACACCATACTTGTGCGTGTGTGTGTGTTGTTAACCCTTACCCGAGGATTTTTTCTTTCTTTTTTTTTATTTTTATTTTTATTTTTTATCCTCACCCGAGGACATTTTTCCATTTTTTGTTCAGGTAGAGTGGGAGGGAGGGAGAGGAACAGAGAGAGAGAGAAACATCGACGTGAAGGGACACATCGAGAGGCTGCCACCCGCACAACCGACCAGGGCCGGGGACAAACTGCAACCGAGGTACGTGCCCTTAGCGGGAACCGAACCCGGGTCTCTCAGGACTGCAGGCTGATGCTCTAACCGCTGAGCCAAACCGGCCAGGGCCCGAGGATTTTTTCAAAGAGAGTGGATGGGAGAGGGGAGGGAGAGAGAGAGGGAGAGCGCGAGCGAGAGAAACAGCCACGTGAGAGAGACACATTGATTGGTTGCCTCCCACGACTGGGTATGGGGCTCAAACCTGCAACCCAGGTACGTGCCCTCGACTGGGAACCCGAGACCCTCCAGTGCGCAGGCCTGTGCTCCAACCACTCAGCACCCTGGCCAGGGCAGGCCACGTGTTTTCAGTCCATTCAGCCACCACCGACACTTGGGCTGCTGACGTCTGTTGGTGACTGAGCACAGGTGTGCAAACACCTCCCCGAGTCCCTGCTCCCAAACTGTGAGGTCTTAACCTCGTGACTTTGCTCTGAATCTTCCTTTCCCGCTGGCCTGCCGGTCCTCGGTGAGACACGCCGGCCGTCGCTCGCGTGCTTTATCGCACAGCGACACGCACGGAGTCTCCGAATGAAGCACCAGCACCGGTTTGGGGGCGCTTCCTGTCCCTTCTCCGCCAGGTGGGTTCCACTGGGGACGCACAGGGACATCAGGTCACCTAGAAAAGTGTCTTCCATCTTTGCGGCTGTCGTCAGCCCAGTGCAGAGTTTGGTTCATTTGTTTCTCTTTGTTTCAGCTACTTAGAGATTGTTTCCTTTTACTTTTAACTTCTTATTTGACACAGTTTCAGACTTACAGGAGAGTGACAAAGAATTCCTGTGAAGTTTTCAGCCAGTTTATTCCCCAAAGGGCAACATTTTACCGCATGTGTCTGCGTCTCTGTCTCGCATCCATCTGCCTGTCTGCCCACCCGTCCTTCCCCGCCCATGTATTTTATTCCCTGTACCGTAGGGTGGTTCTCTGCAGACACAGTGTCCCTTGAGCTGCAAATACTTCTGTGTGTATTTC